TTGCATAATGTCTGGCTGTGGATCTCTGCAACAGCTGCCATCTACAGCTGGAGGAAGCCTTTCTGTTAACTACTGGACAAGATATCCATCTATGAATATAGTAGAATATCATTAAGAATCATTTTATTGGTTTTCTTTAGTAGCATTTTATTCTTACCTAGGTCTGGGCTATGCCGTCTCTGGTTCCTGTGTTGACGGAGGTTTCTGTCCCACCTGGTTCTTCAGTTGTTCAGTCCCAAAGAAACACACAGAGGTCTGCATTAATCATAAACTGGTTGGCCTATTAGCTCAAGCTTCTTATTAGCTCTTTTTTACATCTTAAATTAGCCCATAATTCTTGTCTGTGTTAGCCATGTGGCTTGGTACCTTTATCAGTGAGACATTCTCATCTTGCTTCTTCTGTGTCTGGGTGACGACTGCAGATTGAGCCTTTCCTCTTCCCAGAATTCTCCTGTTCTCATCCTCCTCCTTCTATTTCCTACCTGGTTGCTCCACCTATACTTCCTGCCTGGCTACTGGCCAATCATCATTTCATTAAAGCAATAAAATATAAGTGGCAGGGTACAAGACTATTGTCCCACAGCATTCCTGGACATCCAGGCAGGGTAGGGCATGGGATCCCTGTTGTGGATGGGCATCAAGTTAAACCAAATGTTATCTGGTGACTCGCACATGCTCTGCCCCAGCACATCTTGCAGGCAGGGCAGATGTTAGGTATTAGGGATGGTGGGGGAACCTAGCATAGTGGAAACTTCCTGGAATCTATGAGGACTCCTCGGATTACAGGATACTGATTCTGAAAGTGCTGGAACTGGGTTATGTTTGGTTGAGATCTTAGCCGAGGAGGTCCTGTGGAGAAGCAACCCCAGATAATGCTAGAACAGAAGGTCAGTTTCTGCAAGCCAACACCAGTACCGCATTGCTGCAAGACTTGGTTGCTTCCTGGATTGTCATGGCCCTCCTTGTACATTAACAACCATGATTCACTGTGTGAGAACTTGATGCTGGTTGGAGATTTCCTAAAGTGCATGACAGTTTCTCCCCCTACCATCCTATTTCGTGTGATGATTTGAATATAACTGGCTGTGTTTAGTTGTTGGTTCATTGGTGATGCATCTGCCCCAATGAATCACTTGAAAGAATGACCACCAAGCAGTTTTATTAATTAAAAACTTAATAGCTATGATGGGCAAAAAAAAACCTGGAAAAACACGTAAAAGTACCAATTAAAAACAGTCCTCAATTAACTAGGATGTGCATGCTGCTCTCCCTAAGGATTGGAAACTATGTGGCCTGGACTCCACTTTATGAATATTTATCACGTTTGTTCTTCTTCTCTACTATTGTTACTGTGAGACTTTGAAGATGGTTATATACCTCTTTTTTATTAATTCCATTAGTCAACATATTCATATCTACTGTGTACTGAAATGAAGCATTGTCTGGGAATGAGTAACAGGCAAAGTTCATATTGTTTGTGTAACTTGCTAAAGGCAAGATACTGGAACTTCAGGTGATAGTCTGCAAATTCAGGAGGGCTGGTTGGTGGTTGATTTCCTTTGCTACCTAGACAGCAGAGCAGAGCTTCTGAGTAGACATCAGACACTATAAAACATGCGCTATAAATTACTATTATCATGCAAGCTGTTTGCGTATTCGTAATGGTGGCCACTGGATGAGTTGGAGGTTGCTAGTTGGCTTGGAAAGTTTCGTATGAAGACTTCCATCATAGTTATGAGTTAGAAAACTATGAACCTTTGAAGTTATAATTAGAGTTTCTCTGAAGCTCACAGAAATCATAAATGTGCACCATGTTAAAAAGAAAGATGTTGGTTGTTTCACCCACATAGAGTTCTTACAGTAACTATTTCCCCATCATCTGAAATATGGTTATGATATTGAAGAAGAAATATGGTCTTTGACTTCTAAATACTTATTCTATATTTGCGATGCACAATAATATTTTAGCTTCCAGAAAATCCACGAGAGTAAATGCAGCAAAAAGTCCATCAGCAGAGGGTTGTATCTAGTGTCTGTTTTCAAAATTGTGTGGTGGTATGTAAGATGAAGCACACACATTAGCACACCCATCCCTCACACTAGCACATGTAAGCACACACGCACACACATTCCTGAGCTTTCCCAGGGCTGTCCCTCTACTCTTCACTTATCCTTTGTGTTTTAGCTCAAATGTTGCTTTCTTAAGGCGAAAGTTCCTGGAACTTTCTTTATCGGTTTCATGGGTTTCTTTAAATTCCTAACAATTTCAGAGCACCCTGACTCTTCCTCATCCATGGTTTATTACATGTGTATTGTGTTATGCAGTTTCACACAATAGCAAGGTTCCAGGCAGCAATCATGAGCAAAGAAACGGTGATTATACGCCGTTCACCTGAATGTGTGGAAACCTGACAAGAACCAGGAAAGAGAAAGTCCGAAAGTGGTGAGAATTTACCAGAAAGAGATGCAGCAGTGAACGGGACTGTTCAACAATGTCTGTGTAAAGTGTGAAGTATCCTAAGGATGTGTGGAGTCTCATAGTCCTGTGTAAAGACTGTTGCAGAAACACAGAAGCATGAATTATCAGAAGCACCAACTCCTTAGACATCATGGGCATGGTGCCAGATCTCATGAAACTTTTAAGAACCCATGAAACATCTCAAATTTTCATTTCTTAATCATATAATAGAAGATGCATATAATACTCACAAGCATATATGAATACCATAGGAGTATAAAAATTAACTTTTTTATGATTTTATTATTTTTTGGAAGAAGAGACCCAGATAGATTAGAGTACTCACAAAGGTTGCCAGGCAGCCCTGGGTATAATACTTGTGTGTAACAGGCACTATTTTGATTCAACCCTAGAAGAGGAAATGATGATATCAGCCTGAAAATGTCCTCCTCTCAAAGAGGACAGCCTGGCAGACTGAGGAGCTTCTTCAGATGTAGTTATCTATCCGTAGTTTTCTCCTCTACTCTTGACTCGCAGAAGGCTTGGGAGAGAATTCCTTCGGGAAGGAGTAAGGCTGGATGGCACAGAAGGGTGGCAGTTTGAAGCCATTTGCATTGATTTAGATTTGGCTTGAATAGACATAGGAGAGGGACACCACAAACATTCAGGTCAGTATTTACTCACGCATTTTAGATAATGTTGAAAAACTTTCGAAGTCAGAATTATGACTTGGTCTTCTCTAGAATTTTGCGTTCTAGGAGGGGTAGGTAGTGTGTGTTCTCACACTCAGGCTCAGGCATTGCACACGGTGACTCAGGAAACAGGAGAGTTAGGCTCTTGTAAAGTTGTGAAACTATTGCAGCTGGAATCCGTCACAGAAAAAGCCATCCCAGCCAAAGACAGAATATCTTACAGACGCCATCCATCTCATAGGCAGATTGAGTTTTCTACAGAACAATGCAGAGGGAACATTTCACACCATTAATTGTAACCTAAATTTTGTCATGTATCTCAGACTGGCCTAGAACTTGCAATGTAGCCAAGGATGACCGTGAACTTCAGAGACTTTCCAACTTTTAGCCCTGAGTTCCAGCACCACTGTACCCATCTATAGCTAGCATGGCAGGCAAGCAACCTATCAACTGAGCTGCATCCTCAGACCTAACTACAACCTATTTGAAAGTTAATTTTAAAATACGTTTAAATTTTTCTAAATCAAGAAGTCTTCGCACACATTTGTAACTGTAAACAGTTATAACTACTTATCATTACAACTTATATATTTATAAGTATCTGTTAATTCAGATTATATGCAAAGTTACAATTAGATGAGATTATACAGTATAAATTATAGATTGCTGTCTATATTTTACAGTCTGTCTGTTGTCTGTCTGTGTTTTGTAGACTGTCTACTGTCTGTCTGTTCTTTACAGACCATCCACTGTCTGTCTGTGTTTTACAGACCATTCTCTGTGTTTTATAGACTGTCTACTGTCTGTCTGTTCTTTACAGACCATCCACCGTCTGTCTGTGTTTTACAGACCATTCTTCTCTGTGTTTTGTAGACTGTCTGCTGTCTGTCTGGGTTTTGCAGACTGCCAGAGCTGTCTGTCCATGTTTTACAGACTGTCCGTTTTCTGTCTGTGTTTTATAGACTGTCTGCTGTCTGTCTGGGTTTTACAGACAGTCTACTGTCTGTCTGTTCTTTACAGACCATCCACTGTCTTTCTGGGTATTATAGACTGTCCACCGTCTGTCTGGGATTTACAGACTGTCCACTATCTGTGTTTTACAGACTGTCTTCTGTCTGTCTGTATTTTAAAGATTGTCCTTGTACACAAAGGACCAAATTAATAATACTTCCGAAACTTCTAAAAGTTGGTCTTCTGACTGAATAGCTTGATCAGTACAAAAATAATGTTAGACTCTCTAAAAGGCACTTGGGATTTTATAGCATTGAGATTCTCCTCTTCAAACTATGCCATCCTACGCCATTTTATGACATCTGAAAGGTGTCAAAATATAGTCAGCTAACTGGTAATTTCAGGAGTGCTTAAGATTTTCCCCTACAATACCAGTGAAGTAAACTCAGGGCACACTGTTCAGAATCAAGCTTCCTAGCTCGTTTAACGGTGGCTAAATGGTTCTTCCTTTCATGAGAGTGCCTTCTAGGACTGAGTTCAAAACCTTGGTATTAAAGAAGGCAAGAGTGAGTGGATGCTCTTATTGGAGTTAAAGATCTGTTTCCTTCAACTGGTTCAAACTGGCTGTTGGAATCAGTTCACCCTGCCATCACCGCTCTCCTAGCTAGACTGCAGGGATGGCTGTCTGTGTGCAAACACCTGTTGAATGGATCAATTGATCTTGACTCCATCTTGCTTTTTCTTCCCATCTCTCTATGTTGTTGCTGTTGTTTTCTGGTCCTTTCCCCTCACACTGTGCATGTCCCTGGCCTGGTGAACTTAGTTTGTTGACATGTTGCTCTCAGTGTCTTCCTCAATGCTGGGCTCACATTCTTTCTCTTTTCCCCTTTCCTTGGCAGCCTCCCTTGCTGGAGCCCTCACACACACGCGGGCTCTCGGTGCACCAGGCTCGGCTAGCTGCGGTTGGCATCGATGGATCAGAGAAGCATGGCCTCCTCTCCAGGACCCATTCCTCCCCCGCAGCCTCCATGTTACCTCACTCAACAGCAGACTGTCCCCGCCAGTCTGCCTCTACCACTGGTAGGCATCCCTAAAGACCATTTAATAGGCAGGAGAAATGTGCAGTTCTTGTAGGATTAGCCGATTTAAATGCTCTGAATAACTCCGATAGCAGAATGCTCCATTTTTAACTCGATGCAACCCAAATTTTATGAGGTTATGTTGGCCACAAGACAAACGGCACATCTGATAAATCTTGGGCTTAGTATTAATAGCCTCATAAATTGTTATCATTCAAGGGCCTGGAAAATTCATCAACAGGTGCACGGATCCCCTGGAAATGAAACTCCCCACCGCATTCTTCAGCAGTGTTCCGCAGACGCTTACCTTCCCCGAGATTGGCCGCAAGGAAATTTATGATGCTTGGCGTCCTCATTTGGCTCTGAAGAGTATCTTTTCCTCGTTGGTTTCTTGTTGTTTTGCTTCAGTTTTGTTTTCTTTTTCTTGACTTCCCACACAAATGAATCATGGAAGTCAAGGGTACCAAGGCAAGCCTTGCTTGAATCTGTGCATGGTAGTTACCTGTCCATTCATCATGGTACCTCTGGGTGGGCTTCGCGACCAACATCTCCATTGCCTTCCGCCATGTTTGATATGTAAGAGCCTGACTACAGACGAAACCAGCATATAATTGTAAGTCCAGAGCACACGCCAAAACGGGGCGTGCCCCATACTTCTGCTCTCCCACTGTGGCTGAGCAAATAAGAGATACCAATGCTCCATGAGAGTTACGGCGTGGCTACAGGAGAGTTTATACAGACGTCTGTCAGACTCACTCTGAAATTGCTATCAAGGATCCAGGGTTGGTGCTGTGGCATCTCCGACCTCCTGCAGACCTCTGAGCTCAGACATGCTAAAATGCCTTTTCTAGAATCGTGTTCCCAATCCTTCCTGTGATTTATCCTTTTTCACTTTAGAAATCAGTTCATGGATTGACCAGGTTAGTTAACTGGCGATAGATATCTTTCAAGAGTGTATATAGGAGATAATTTGATAAGCGATTATGCCAAAGGGCAGCAACATCCCATATTACGTTTTATAGTTTAGGCATATTTCCTTTTCCACATCAGCAGCCTCTGCCCAGATTTCCTAGTTCCTGCAGCACTGAGAAATCTTCCTAGAGATCCCGCAAAGCCCACACCTGACAGCTGTCAGTGTCCGTGGAAGCCTTTGTCATCAATCACAGCTGTGCTAGACCCAGGGTTAGAAAAATTTGCTCAAATCCAGGATGCCAAATATATATAGTAATACTTTTTTCCCATATTTATTTGCTTAATTTTATGTGTATTAATGTTCTATGCCCCCCATATGTGTGAGTATTTGTGTATGGTGTGTGTGTGTGTTTATGTGTGTCTGTGTGTATGTTTACGTGTGGGTGTTTATGTGTATGTGTGTTTATGTGTGTTTGTGTGTATGTGTTTGTGTATGTGTTGGTGTATGTGGTGTGTGTTTATGTGTGTGTGCGTGCGTATATGTGTAAGTATATATGTGTGTGTGTGTGTGTGTGTGTGTGTGTGTGTACCACGTGCATACCTGGTGCCTACAGAGGCCAGAAGAGAGCTTCAGATTCTCCTGTAACCAGAGTTAGATAGTTATGACCAGCCATGTGGTTACTGGGTACCAAATCCAGGTTCTCAGAAAGAGTAAGGTGTTCTCTTATTAAACACACAGTCATCTCTCTAGCCCTGAAATCCTTCTGTTTCTCCCACTCTCAGCATCCCTCAGCTGCTTTGTAGTTCTTTGTGCAGGACTGAGGCTTCCTGGGATTTCCCCAGTCCCTGTAAGCGCGTCTGTTTCTTTTGTCTCTGTGTAGCTAGTCAGAGGCAGTCATGTGGGTGAGACTATATGGATGTAAGCTCTGGTATCCCCAGGGAACCATCTCACAACAAAGCCCTCGTTTCTCTGATCTTACCATCTTTCTGGCTCCTCTTCTGCGATCTTCCCTAAGTCTTAGAGGAGCAAGCAGAACTCTTAACCACTGAGTTATCTCAACTAAGTGGACCCAGTCACAAAATCCAAGAGCAGTCATAGCTGGTGCCCTGTGGGGAGCCAAGGACAAGCTGACTGTGGGACAAACAAGGAGGATTTGAGGTCCTGTCACTGCTGGGGTGATGATGTGTATCTGGTCAAGCCAGGCTGCCACCACGTCCAGTGAAGGTTGGGTCATGTTTGAAAATGGGCAGTCGTATTAGAATCATCAGAGCTCTTCCCCTTTACTCAAAGACTGGGAATGGCGTTTCTTATGTGAGGCTCAGATAATCCAGGAAAAGGGAAATAAGTCCATTTTCTCTGCTAACATCATGTCTTCTGCTCACCTAGAAATTAGACTCAGCCATGGCTCACAGAGTTAGTCCACTACAGGATAATAGCTGTGAATTTACCCTGAATGTATTTGTTGCAAAAGAAAATTCATAACATATTATGGCCTCTCTCCTGTGCCACTTGTAAACCCGACGGCCTCTTTCTTTAGTCCAGAGGTTACAGGACCTAGTTCATGCTAAAAAATTATTTCTTTACACCATTACCATTTTACTTAGAGGTGAATTTGAAATAGAATCATGATTTCCAAAGTGGTTGCACAAGTTTGCATTCCCACCAACAATGGATGAGTGTTCCCCTTACTCCACATCCTTTCCAGCATAGGCTATCATTGGTGTTTTTGATTTTAGCCATTCTAACAGGTGTAAGATGGTATCTCAGAGTTGTTTTGATTTGCATTTCCCTGATCACTAAGGAGGTTGAGCATGACCTTAAGTGTTTTTTGGCTATTTGAACTTCTTCTATTGAGAATTCTCTGTTCAGTTAAAAAAAAATAGAATCGTAGTGCTGAAACTCAGCTGATGTTTGTAGAAATCATGAAAATAATTAGGACATTATATCAATGCTTACTGAAGAGTAGAAATCGTGAGAAGCATGTGTACGCAAGCATGTCAGTATGGGAACTGCTAAGTTCCCCTCCTCTCTGCCTGCTTCCATTTTGGTTTTACATGCATGAAAGCCGTGTCCTGGTCAGCTGACTCCAGCGTCTCCCTGCAGTTTCAAAGGTCTTTAGGACGCTATGTCATTCAAGAAAACCTTCTTTTCCCACTAAACCCAAAAGACTTAGTGTAGTCCCTTGTAATACACTGGATTGTTTTCAGTCAAAATCTCTAAATAGTGTTGATTTGGGGACTGTGTGCCAGAGGAGAAAGTATGAGGAATGGGGTGACTTTTCTGTTCTTGCTAACTCTAGCGCTCTGGTACGTGATTGGAACACATGAGCCTTTGAGCAGCTGGAAGAGACGTGAGTAAGTTGATGCGGGTTCTGGAGGAGTGTACAGAAGCAGACATAGGGGCTGAAGACGTGGCTCAGGGGTTAAGAGCCTGGGTGCGCATCCAGAGGAGCCAGCTTGGCTCCCAGTGCCAGCATGGAAGCTCACACTTGTCTGTAATTTCAGTTACAGGGGATCTAACGCTACCTTCTGGCCTCTGCAGTCTGCAGGAGGGATATTGGTGTGCAGACAAACACCTGGGCAAAACACATGTAAAATAAATAAACATGTAAAATAAAAATAAATGAATATTTTTTTAAAAAGTCGTTGGACATTGATACGTGTTCACTGAAGAAAACTTGGCAATTGTCTGCGAGAAGAATCAGTTGAGATATTTCCAATATTTTTCTTCTTCTTAAATTTCTTCTTAACAAAACAAAAATTTATACATCTTTTTAGAACAATGACTTTTGAATTTGAAGATGCCAGAGCAGTTTTTAAAACACTGGTTTTCAGTCTATAGTAGATCATGACCATTGAGCTGGGCAGTGTGACCAGCTTCCTTGGCAGTTTCTGTGACATACTCTCATAGGCTGTCTCTCTGGAGCTTCCCTCTCCCCCTCCCCCTCTGTCCTTTTCTCCCACCCTCTCCCTCCCCGCCCTCTCTTTGTGTGTGTTGGTTTTATCTTCTCACTCATTCTTGAATATAGAAAAATCATCCCATTTTTCCAGTAAATCTGTGTTACATTTGGCTTCTCCTTCTGCCAGCTTACATGCTGGTTAACGCTTTCTTGGCTCTGTAGTTGAATGTCAGCACTTAATTCGATTCATGCAATGTAACAGTTAGTTCAGAAGTCTGTGCTGGAAATTCTTCAATCCATTTTTTCACCTGATCCTTTGATACTATCATTTTAAAAAACACAAATTATGAATCATAAAAAGATATTTTCAACTAGTAAAAAAATGCAATTTACCAAAATCTTCTGAAAGTTAGTTTTGGATATTATATCATTTGCTCATTGACACATTACATTTCACAAATAATTAAATATAATTAAACATTAAATTTCATAAATAATTAAATATTACATGGCTGGAGAGATAACTCCACAGCTAAGAACACCTCTTGTAGATGAGCAGGTTTCATTTCTCAACACCAAATGGTGGCTCACAACCATCCACAGCTCCAGCTCCAGGGGGTTCAATGCTTTCTGACCTCTGTGGATACCAAGCACACATGTGGTGTGCATACATGCATGCAGGCAAAACACTCATCCACAGAAAGTAAAATCTAAAATTTAAAATTAAATAACTTGGTGCTTGATTTATGTGTTCCCAAGAAAAGATATAACAGATGTGAGGAGGAGCACATCCGAAGAGTGTGTAGAAATGGGAAGGTCAAGGCAAATAGGCTCTTGGGTAGACTAGGGTTATGAATAGAAAGAATTACAACGACAGTGCGCCTGCCTGCAGGTTGTCAGGAATGGCACTTGTTTCAAAATCGAGTCTTTCTGAGTGCCTGAGAGAGATTGGTTCCAGACCCCTAAAGATGCAGGAGTCTCTGATAAGCAATAGAGTGCATTTGCATATGTGTGTAGTTTGTTACGTCACCTCTAGATTAGAGACAATTCCTAACACAACCTAATAGATATGTAGATAGCTTGTCTGTTGATCACTTCAGAAATAAGAACAAGGTAAACACTAGACACTTTAGTTGAAAGGCATCGTTTTACTAAGGTCTTCAGTTCCTCCTGGGCTGGATCTATGAAA